TTTGATTGGCTGCGTCCTATTTTACTGTTTTGGAAATGGGTACCTTAATTTCAATGCCAATGATATTTATATGAACCAGAAAACTAAGATGAAACTGAACATGAATATTTTTAAATGAAGGGACGGGCACTTGTTACGACTCGATTAATTAATTCATTTACTTTTAAATTTGTAAATAATCGGTATGATTTCCTCATCATCTTGCTTGAAGATGCATAAAACAGGATAACTACGTTCAAAATTCCTTTCGGCATCCGGAAGATTTTTTACCAAAGTAACAGGTATCTGACCAAATCTATTGCGAAATAACAAATTAAAAGCTGAAAACTGATTTTTCATTATTTTATGTGCAAAGTTTTCATTCATTTCATATTGATCAAAAAAATTGATGTATCCCACAAGTGATACTTGCCATCTAAAATTCAATTAGAAAATACATAAATCAGTACTACTTGGTTATTGTTTAAAAAACACATAACTATAATTTTATAATACTAGCGGTCGCTCGAAGGAGGGGCCCTTCCGCTAGCCAAATTTTAAATCATTACAGAACTTTAGCTAAAACAAATTCAACTTAACATCCCATTCTTTACTATATATCTATTGAAAACTATTTAGCAAAAGGCAATTGCTGATATATCACATAATCATAAAAGACAATTACAAATATCACAAATCATTTAATTGCTGGACCCTTTTCTCCCAACATTTACTCTACCTATTGACTATCAATAGGCACCTATAGTAACCTATACATTGTCAAACTATCTGGACTGACCTCCCACCAATCAACGGATACAGATCTCGGCCATTGCCGGAATTATTCTCTATCCCCGGAGACTTTTGCCGATTTCAAACTCTTTTATCATACAACATAAAACATAATAGATTCCCTAAAAAGAACTATCAACTAGTGTTTATCAACTATGTAGTGTTGCTCGGCTTTAATGTACTTAAACAAATTTACGTTGTATCCATAGTAGAGAAAACTTTCCCAACTGGATTAGAAATAATAAATGACAAAATCAATCTTCGTGCCAAAATAAACAATTTGTGCGTAATAAATAAATTTCTCTCATGATAGAAAATTCTTGTTAAATGCTTTGCAAGTTGATCAAATACATGACTTTCGCTAAAATTAGAAATAAATTTTAAAAATTATTAAATGATACTCAAAATAAGGTAAAGTGACAAAATATACCGTATTTATTCTAATATAAGCCCTGGGGTTATTTTTTCAATGGGTCTCCTCGGATGGGCCTATATTAGGGGTGGGCTTCTATTAGAGGATGGGCTTATATTTTTCAATGGGTTTCATCGGATGGGCTTTTATTAGATGTGGGTTTATACTAGAATAAATACGGTATTTAATTCCTAAAGCTATTTAATTCCTAATTTCCGAGAAAAATAAAATTCCAGATTTCGGAAATTGGAATTTTGTTGGCGCGATCCTTGATGTGAACCTTACCGAATATTCCTTAATGAACCAGGAATATTATTTACATCTTGTTGACCACCAAACTCATTCATATCTAAACCGTGATTTTCAATAAATCGAACATAATCATCCCTGTCAACAGTTCGTTTATACGCACTAATTCTTTTATTAATAAAAAGTAGTTGAGTTTCTTTATCCGTACTTCTGTACTTTTCTTTTATTTGATTTTCATAATTGTTAAGAATTTTTTCAGAATGTTCTATCACCTGTAAATTAGGAGTGTTATCTATTGGGTCGAGGGGGAAGGGGGAAAGGGACCCTGATGCATAGCGATACCTATTGTTAATTATTTAATGGGAAACTAAATAAGTATGCAAAAGTCTTCTGTAAATAGCCTTTCAATCTATATCAATGTAAACTTCCCTTCCTTACCGCTCTTATTTTTCGAGTAAAACCACCAACGAACGGGCCATTTGGTTCAATTTCCACAATTTCTTCAAATTCTTTTATTACTTCAGCTCCTTTTGCAATGAGTATATCTTTAACAGACTCATAATTTTTGCAATTTTCTATGCAAAATTTATCTAAAATACTCATCAGAAAGGTCAACTCAGAAAGAGAGAAAACATTCAGATTATCACTGAGTTCGCCTTTGCCAGTTCTCATATTTACTTAATTTTTAAGTATTATTTAATAAAAAAAATTAGACTTTAGCTCTCAGACTTCAGCTAAAAATGTTAACTTACCAGGAAAATTCATCATTCCTTTGACAAAAAGAGCTTCAAACCCAACAAGAAACAAGACAATAAATGTCTTACAAAGTGTATTATAATACATTTTAGTTAAGAATTTTATTCACAATTTTTTGAATAAAATTATTCTGGCAATTTTTATATAAAAATTATTATATAAATTGGTAATATTTCCAATTTACAAAAAATTTCTTTACAGAGAGGAAAGAAATACAGAGGAGAAGATTTAAAAAATTTAAATTTAGAAATCTTTCAGAAATGAGAAAAAATCACTTCGTTTTGATAGAGTTGGATGAGAATCTGCTCCATAATATTGTGACCTATGTAGAAGTATGATGAGACTATTCTATATTACCATTATATACAGTAATCCCTAAAGATAGCTATTAGATTGGCCAGACCCTAACTACACCGGTGCTCTAGCTTATGAGGCAAAAATTACGACTGATTAACTGTGAACTGATTTATAGGAGAAATAATCTCATTATATAAGCATAAACATGTGAATAGGATATGTCACAGGAAATAGTGATAAATTGTTAAGAAAGAGAAATGGCTGGGAAAATCCATTAACACATTCACTTTCCCTTTGTAAAAAATCTGCGATAACAAGAAAATCATTTTACAGGAAATTAAAAAGGGCAATAAAGTGCATTGAGATGATTATTGGCTCAATTGCCTATTAATGGATCTTGTGCTATGGCTCGAATACACAGTAAATCTTATACAAGGCTTATTTAATTAAAAATTTTTTAAAATTTATTGAGTAACCCACAAAGTGCAATTATATGGTATTTGTAAAAAATAAAATGTCAAACTATTTAAAAAATTAGTATTCTGATCTCCTGTGTGTTCATGGCTCGTTGCCTCCATAACCGAAAAACCGGAATCGAATCCGGAATGTTCTCTTCAAATATTTCTTAATCTCTCCAATCCCCAATATTTATTACTCAAAACATTTTTCAGGTAATATGTATTAGAATGAACTTTCGGGATTACGTAATTTATCAACCTTTTAAAAAATCCCGTCACAAGAGCTCGGGAGTGCAATTTAGTCACTCTGATCTCTAGGTCAGGAAATTGTCCTATGGAAGTGTATAAAAAAGAATTTGTAAATTTATTATGAAATATCCAAAAAATAATGGATAAACAATTAAACTAAAAAGATATCTAGACAGTCAGTTTGACAAATAAGCAAAGGGAGAAAAAGATTAATAAGAAGGTTCGGGATATTAGTTTGCCAGGATCAGCCAATACGAATCCTAACTTTGAGCATCTACAATAACGCCAACTGACTTTTCTCCAAATTTTCAATTTTTCCTATTTTTAATCATTTTCCAATTTTTTAACCTTTTTGCCAATTCGACATCGATTTTCGGGTTATGTATTTTCTAATATCTAGACCAGATTTCTTCCATTTTTAGCCACGCAGGCGAAAATTTTCGAAATTTTAAGGAAAATTTAATTTTTTTAAACAAAAAATTTTAAATTTTTTAAGCACAAAGGTAGGTTAATTCCAAAATAATTCGAATGAGAGCCCTGTATAAAACAAAAATAATTTAATCGAAAGTCAATGAGAAACAACTCACAAAATTATATGGTTTATGTATACTTTTTTAGCCACGTCCTTTTTTCCCTTTTTCATACTTTTTCTTTGGTACTACTGAAGATTGTGGGGCTCTTTCTGCGGACTTTTTTTGCGGACTTTTCTTCCTTTCTTTTAAATGTTTTACTTATAGCAACTAACTGTCAACGCCCTCCCCCACTATTTTTCTTACCTAAGATTGTACATAAAGGTCAGATTTTCTTCTTTCTCTCCTTCCTCTATTTGCCCTGTGGCAAATTCAAACAAGAGACATCGATAAAGAGAAGATTAATTTTATAGTCATACACTTATTTTTTTGCCTTCGAAAACAATGTTAAAAAAATTATATAAAATTGATTTGGTGTATAACATTATGAATTTCTTTGTAAAAACATTACATTCTTACTTATATTTAAAAATATTGAACAACTCAATTAATTTTAATTTTCTCTTTATCAACAATGTCTCTTGTTTGAATTTGCCAAGCTCAAATAGAGGAAAGAGAGGAAGAAGGAAATCTGACCATTTTGTACAATCTTAGGTAATAAAAATAATGGGGGGGGGGGGAACAAGGTTTGAAAGTACCCGCATGTCTGTTCCACAATCACATGTTCTTTTTCTATGAAGCATTCCGAGATCAGTGATCCATTTTTGAAATTCATCATCGACTAATTGAAATCATACAATTTAGTTAAATTAAAAATTTTTTATTGATTGTAACATTTTTTACGTTTATGTTTAAATTAATGGTGAACACATTATTCAAACTGACATAAAAATTAATCCTTGACAGTTAGTTGCTACAAGCAAAACTTGCTGCAAGCAAAACAACCAAAACTTTAAAAAATACATTTGAAAGAAAGGAAGAAAAGTCAACAAAAAAGTCCGCAGAAAGTGCCCCACAATCTTCAGTAGTACCTTTTCTTTTACTACTACTCCTCAACCATCAATTCAGCTAAGGATGTAGAAAAGGTTAGTGAGGAAATAGATAACTCATCGAGCAGAGTTTAATGACACCAGACTCTGTCATTGATCTCTGGGAAAAATTACAGGGGTCAAAATGTCATTTTGAGAAAAATGATTGTAAACACATAATTACCGGAAAACATCAAAATACCGGACCATTATTTCAAAAACGTAGTCCTGGGTACTGATTCAAATGCTAATTTTTATTTTGGTGAAATTGGAAAGAAAAACTGATCTTTTCTTTATTAATGTGTCTCATTGAACATGCCTCAGGGAAAATTGAGTGAGATCGAGGAAGAAAGAAGGCAAACCGACCTGTACATATTTAGTTTGTTTGATTAATAATGGAAAAGGAAAAAGGGGCGTCGCTAAAAAAGGATACCTAAACCATGTAAGTTCCCATAGAAATATAAATTTCATTGATTAAGAAATTGATGAGGAATTGTTTTGTCATCATCAAATAGTAACTTGATCAGTTCTGGATTAAATCTAGGACCAGCATAAGGATATTTAAAAGCACATCCAAATATATGTTCAAACCAACAACGAAGTTCAACAAGATGCTTGATATTTTTTGGAAAGTTTGGCAAACACAAGAGACGATGCTCTTCATCCTCGATTTTTTCAAGTCTGACAACAATTGGCCTCTGAATTGTTGAATGATCTAAATACAACGGAATTGAATTAGCTAATGCTGCTTTCCACTGAAAAAATTAAATGTAATTTTATTAAAAATTAGTTCAACCTTCTTCTTAAGTTGATCATTTAACGTAAATTTAAAAATTCCAGATTGTTTAATGGATTTAGAGTTTTGAAAGACTTTAGCACTAAGTTTTTTATTTACAAGTTGGCTGAATTTCTTCTTTGCTAAATGTTCTTCACATTTATTGATTAAATTGTAAAAGTAAGAATTGGTTTGTCTTAGATAAAATAATTGGTTGAAATTAAGGCATTTTAATATATCAAGTCGAACTTCAGTTGGAAGAGAAAACATTGGATCCTTTATCTAGAAAAGAGCAAATAAAAAATTAAAATCTTCTAGAATTTAAAAGTTGAAAAATTGGAAGCTTAGGTAAAATTGTGTTTGAGGGAAAAAACTTAGGGAGAGCAAGCTGGTTTTTGGGGTAAAAACTTCGATTGTACAAATGTTAGCTTATACGAAAGTCCGAAATACACTGAACAATATCTCCATGATTGAATAAGGCCCTCGCGGAAAAACAACCGCTGAATGATTCGTGCATCATTCGACTCAGCTCGTCGAATTCTATTCGAATGACATATATAAAACGGATCGGAGTCTGGGCCCCCAAACACAATTTTTCCAAAGTTTGGATAAACTATACCCTCGGGGGATTTCTAGAGTTGGGCAATCTACCTATATGTCAATCGAAATAACAAAGCAAACTGAGTCGACTAAACAAAATTTTTCCAAAGAAACAACATTATGTCGAGACCCATATTCATGAAAATATAAAACCCTTAGGGGGACCAAGCCCATTTTTTGGCCGCCGAACTATGCGAATTCAAATTTGAGGGACGAAATTCGCTGAACCAAAACTTGCGGACCTCAAATTAGCAAAACGAAATTTACAAACAGACAGGTGTCTTCTTGACTTAGGAAATTTTAAAATTTCCGCCTGACCTTAGATGAATGAATTCTTTTCTGGGTGAATTTATGGAATCCGAGGAGTCGATTAATTAAAATTTTATTTTACATTCAAATTTCGTTAATTAAATTTCAAGTACGCAAAAATCAGGTCTGCAGCTTTTGTTCCGCAAAGTTCGCGCCACGAAATTAAGTATTAAAAATACAAACAATTTTTCTACTACTCACTGGCAAATAATCATAATGTTGTTGTTCAATTGCTGACGAGGTAGAAGGAATGCAAGAAATTGTTTCATTAATTTGAGCTTTCACAAACACCTAAAAAATTAAATTTAATTAAATTTATAAATATTATTATACTTTAAAAGGTGATCCGAGGACCGGAGTAGCAATAAAATTAACATTGATTGTGTAAAGACCAGGTGATTGGACTGTGTATCTGAATTGGAAAGTTTTAGAAATTGTTCTAATTATAATTAGTATAAGCGAAAAGAACGAACTCGACTTGATAATTGCTTTCATTTAAATGCTGTAAAGTTTCAACTTCAGCCTTTTTAGGCCCATCAATAGATACGGTTAATTTTCCACCACCCAAATTTTTTGTATATCCAACGGTGAATTTATTTGGGCGACCAAGTACGCCAACAGTTAATCCTGGACCTTCCGCCCAAGCCATAAAAACACATTTATCAGCTAAAAATTTGGGAAAACACTAGGTTACAGGAGTAAAAAATTGCCAGAATGTTGAATTAAAAACTCTCTATTATACAAATGACAGGCCAAAACGTGAAAAGGACAAGACACGGATATAAAAAATGAGGGCGGACAAAATGCGGTATTACAGGCGTTACGACGATTGCGGATACTCAGATGCGATGCGCAAATCCGGATTTAACAATTGGTGATTTTTGTAAATTATCGAAATATTATCAAGTAATTTAGTCCCGGCTGTCAGTTTTCGAATTCTGACGGTTTCAGAATCATTTCGTGATGAGGCGACACAAAAATTTTAAAAAATCGTAAATTAAAAAAATTTTTATATCGGCAATGTCGTCCTGTTTTCGTACGCAATTGTCGTCCGGAATTGTCGTATTCGCAATTGCGTATCCGTAATTTTCATACAACCGTATTAACACAATATGTAAAGAAAAAACACGGAATATTTTTAAAATCAGATTATCCTAAAAATCATAATATTTCCTAAAATAGAATTTTTCAAAAATTAGAATTAAAAATCTGAAAACTTCTGATCATAAAAAAATGATTTCAAAATCTTTGTATTTTGGACGTTTCGTGTTTTGTTTATTCCGTGTTAACATTGAGTTGATTAATTTTCGGTACGTGTCTCGTGAGAGTTAACGGGTTTCAGGTTTTGAACTAGTAAAATAAATCTCAATTTTTCTGCTTTTTAAACCTTTCATATTTAACACAAAATGGACCGAGTGGAGAGGCATAAGTGCCGTAAAAATTTTTTTCAAAAATTAAAAAAAAATCATACAATTTTCCATTCCAAGATTTGGTTTTACATTTTTATCAACACATCCCCATCGTTTTATCTTTAAAATGTTAAAATTATTATTAAAAAAGCTAAAAAGAAAATAATTCAAAGGTCCCCGGTACTTCAACAAAGCTTAGTTTATATCACATTAGTAGCAAGAGGTTGGAACTCAGAAAGGCACAGCCGATATTTGTGCATAAAATTTTGGATTCGAAAAATTGAACAAAAATTAGAATCCCAAGAAAATACATAAAAAAATTTTTGGAGCATTTTTAATGTGACACCAAATTGTAGCAACGAAATCTTACCAAATCACACGTGTGATCAGCACACAAAATATAATTCTTTTGAAATTCTTTTAAATAAGCATTGCATTCATACAATTTATTTGGATTTTTAGAGCAGCGCCAAATTCCTTTACTTTCTAAAATATATTCGAATCGACCATGTATAATACTAGTTTTAGAATTCTTTGTTGTATCAAAGAAAACCCATTCATTTAGTCTAAAATAGAAAAAATAGGCTCGACAACAGAAAGCCAAAAAAACCTCTCAACACATTTCTTGCGGCGTTCAACCAAAAAAGAATCAAAGCATTCCAAGGCATATTTTGAATCAAAACGGACAGAAAATTTAGCTTCATATTCGGTATGGTCAATACAATTAGTTGGAAGTTTTAAAAGAAGTTTTTGACCAGGAGGAGCAGATACATAGTAGAGCTGTAAAATTGAAAGAAAAATTATAAAGGCGAAAAGCAATGGGGTAAATCAATAAAAAAAGTTAAACTACGAAAATAACTGACGGTAAAAACAAGGAAAAGGTTAAGAAAATCAAGAAATATGAAAAAGAATGAGCCTGTCTATGTATTAGGAAATCAAAGATGGAGATATTTAAAAAATCCAGATCATGGTAGAGGTATCGCTAATTACCCCATGAAAAAACATGTTTTGCGAATGCAATAAAATGCACTGATTATGAGTGAAATATCATCATAAAAATGCTCAAAACGGTCGGCAATAGCATTTTTTAGAAGTCAAAAAATCACACGGGTTCAAACCCCTGCCCCAAACATTTCATATATGATAGCTCTTTCGAAAAAGCTCGTCGAGTAAGTCGAATGACACAAAGATTCGACAAAGTTATTGAATGAATCTAAGCTAGAAGAATTTAGTTGATTTGTGTCACTCAACTCAGCTTGGCTAAACTACAGTTTCCGTACCAGGCTCAGAATTGAACGATTTATATGTCATTCGAAAGAGCTCGTCGAGCTGAGTCGAATGACACCAAAATTTTTCAGCGGAAAAATTCTGAGCCGAGTTACAGACCACTAAAGTTCAAAAAACCATAGGGGGGACCAAGCTGTTTCCGGGGGGTGAAAAATTCGAATATGCAAATTATACCTCATTCGAAAGAGCTCATCGAGCTGAGTCGAATGACACCAAAATCAATGAAATCAGATTTGATTTGACAAAGTTATGCTCGTTTGTTTTAGCTCCTTACCTTTGTTCTCCGTGGATGTTCTTGCTGCTGCGGAGGAAGCTGGGCAGGTAATATTGAACGTGACAGACCCCCTTTTTTCCTCCCCAAGTTTTCCCCCTATATTTTTACAGAATGGTCAGACTTTTTCCTTTCTCCCATCCCAATTGCCTTTCTATATTTGCCAGCAATCAAGTACTCCTCCTTTTTATAATCCTTTTTGTTTGTTTGCAGGCAAAAATTAGAAAGGCAAATTGGATGGAAGAAAGGCCGCTGGGCATGCCCATCACAGCGATAATTGGAATAGGATTAAGTTACGAGCCCAGACCCAGAGCCCGTAGACTCCACGCGAGGCGCGTGCCGCAAAACTCCGCGCGAAGCGCGGAGTTTTGCACAAGCGCCTCGCCGACGCCCCATAGGTTTACGTTGTTTGTTTTTTCTGTCATAACTTTAAACAAACTTGACCAATCACGGCTATTTTGGTGTCATTCGACTCGGCTTGAAGAGCTCTTTCAAATGAGCTATTAATTGCATATTCGATTTTTTCACCCCAAAAATCAGCTTGGTCCCCCCTATGGTTTTTCGATTTTCGGGGGCCTGTAACTCGGCTCAGAATTTTTTCCGCTGAATAATTTTGGTGTCGTTCGACTCAGCTCGACGAGCTCTTTCGAATGACATATAAATCGTCTAATTCTGAGCCTGGTACGGAAACTGTAGTTAGGCCCTCAGCTTGATTAGCTCTTTCAAATGAGCTAGTACTTCCACATTCAAATTTTTGACCCCAAAAATCGGCTTGGTCCTCTCGACGGGTTTTCAATTTTCAGGGGACTGCAAATCTGGGGGAAAAAGCTTGCCATCCGTATGAGCACTTTTTTTGATATTAGGTATCGTCATATCATTTTAGACATGAAAGCGATACCCTAGCCGAGAGGCCTTTAAAACACATTATCTAACAATAAAAATAACACAACAAAATAAATAAAAAATACAATTGGGATGGCAGTCCGACACTGTGGGCATTGTTTTGTTTCCCCAATCACGCGGATACGCATTGAACATTCCATACAAATCTATAAAATAAATTAGAAACATTTCCAACTAAAACGAAAAATAAACCGGATGCAAGCACTCTCCAAGTCCAAAAAAATCAGAACGATGACGACAAATTAGACAATTGCTGATTTCCCCATCTGGATTTAGAGCAGGTTTTTGTTGGTTGTTTCCACGAGAAGTTTGTCCTGATTGTTGGTTGTTTTCTTGATTATTCTGACTTGACGAATGTTGATTCGGTTGATTCGTCTAGATTTTAAAATTATACATTTAATAAACTAAAGAAATTAAAAACTAGAGTACGGCACGGGACGGGACCCCGTACGGGATTTTACGGGATCCCGTCCCGGAATCCCGGGTTTTTA